TTGAATTAACGTAAACACATAGTGATAAGCTTGCCTTGAAAATTACAGAAAAGTAAAAATTAATTCGATATAAAGACCAGTCTGCCGATGAAAACCATCTATTATCTATTGTTTGAAACATATATCGGCTGTAATTATCATTATTATTAAAACAGGAAACTTTCTTGTAACTGTTATAAATTTTTCAATTTCATAAAATATGTCAAAACTAGTAATTTTCAATAGGAATATTACTTGAAATATACGTATTTAATATGTTATTATTTAATATGTTTTATTTAATATGTTTCAAAAATAATGTTCTCGGAAGAAAAAACTCTTTTTAATATATTTTTCAAATTGAAAAATTTGTTTTAATTGCAAGAAACTTCGTATTTGTATCTATAAATTGTACACATTTATCTTTCACTACCTTTTAGTGTTTTTTTTTTTAATCAATTTAAGCAATTTTATTAAAGCAAATTGTACATTTTAAGATAAGTATTTTTAGAATTATTTTCATTTTTATATGTTGTACATTTCAAAATATGTTTATAAACATAAATCATAAATAACAATAAACCATCTTTTTTCTATTAATAATTTTTCTATTAATCTTTTTTATATTAATAATTGATAATTTAAAGAAAGAAAATATATGAGTGTACTGATTGTTTGATAGTGAATTTATATTATTTGTTCATTACTAGCTTATTTTATATTATTTATTAATCTTTTTTTCTGAAATTCGTTAATTCTTTAAGTTAATTAATATGTAATTAATTTAATCAATTGGTTTATATTTTTTTACATCATTCAAATTTCAATTTAATTTAAAAACTTATTTGATTAATAATTATTACTTTCAAGAACATCTAGAATAATTAGCTGAAAAGTAAAGGAAAAAGCATAATGTCTCGTGCTAAGTGTAACGAGGAACACGGTGAGGGACGTGATGAGTATAAGTACATAACATTTACGAGGCTGGCAACGTAGCTATTGCTTACAGCTAGAAGTCGGGAAGAAAGAGACAACATCACATTATCTGCATCTTTCTCCTGCCCGACGCTATCAAAGAACCGAGCGCATACGTACACGATTCTTTCTTTGTGTACGTCATCCCTTCCACACCCGTGCCCGATGAGCCGCGGGACTCAGAATTGGTAGCTCTTGCTTGCTCTGCGTCGAGTCGCGTGGTGAACATTAGTGTGAAAGTCTCCATACCACGGAGCAGAGAGACTGGGTCCGTGAATAGAGTCTCCGGGACTTATTCTTCGGAACTCACTCGCGTCTGACAATTTACATCGTGTACTATATTAATGTACAAAAATATGAAAAGCCGTAAAGTGTGTAAATAATAAAAATGTTGCCGCGCCGACGATTCCAGGTTCTGGTGCTCATCATCTTAACGCTTTGCCAAGGTAATTACTGCGATCTGACGCACACCTGACGCCCATCATCTGACGAGATTCTCCACTGACGCGTAACATAGTCACGTGGTCACTGAGTCACATTTATTGGTGTCGTGATCGGATTTTACTTGACTTTACGTATAGAAGCATATTCAGCAAATATCAATAGATTGATTAAAAAGCGTTCGAATAATTATCTAAAGAACTTCGATTAATATTTGGATAGAGACGTCTTGCTGCCCATTAAATAGAACATAAATATTGAATGAAAGAATTTATCTTGATTATAATTTCATAAAAAGAGAAGTCTGATATGTAACGATTGGACAGTATATCCAACATATATGGACATATTTCCAAAATCCCATAATTGTTACCTATTTTATGACTTGTAAGTTATAAAAGTATATAACCAACCATCCAAAATTGTTAAATCGGATGTCGGATTTATTTGGAAGTCTGTTTTCATTAATCTCTATTATCCACTTTTTTCATAATAGTCTAATTGTTTTGCAACTTAATGAATTTCTTGATGTTTTTCAGGAAATGTTGCGACACTGAACGTGATTAAATTTTTAATAGAACTGCTTTTATAGATAACCTTGTGAAATAATTAAATCAGTAAAGTAATCGATAGAATAGATTATATTGGATATATTATATTGAAAGGCACGCGTAAAATATTATATGAATCACTAGATTTTTATCAGTGAATTTCTCTCGACTATACTAAAATGATAAAATCTTTTCGTTAAAAAGGTTATTAAGCGGATATAGAAAGAATGATAAGCTTTTAGAACAGAGTGCTTGCTATAAAGAAATATGAAATAGACATCAAGTCATGACAATGGCTCCTTAATTTAATTACTTAAAAAGTTATTATAGCGTACTTTGATACTTAATGCAATTCTGCATAATTTTTTCAATATTTAATAAATTAGTTTTAGCAATATTCATTTAGAGAGAAAAAAAGAAAAAGTAATTTATTTAGCCATATACTTTTAAATATTTAAATATTTAAATAGAAAAGTTTAAGACAATATGTATTAATTAAATAAATAGAAAGTATATTTAATAAGCAAAAGTACATTTATAAGTAAAAAAATTGATTAATATTTAATAATATTATCAATATTGGAATAATATTTAAAGTTACATTAAATCATATTAAAATTTTATATCCTTTTTGCAATTTTTTATCTTATTCTTTAATATGTAATTCTTGTTACCTATTTTTAGATAAAAAGCAGAATTTTTTTGAATAAAATCAAATCGTAAAATTTATATTAAAATTTTTATTACACTTAATTATGTCTTTTTTGACCAATGTAAAAGTTGCTTTAAATTTTTCAAAACAGTTTGTATTCTAAGATAAAAATATATTAAAATGAAAGTATAGAAACTAAATGTATATTAAAAATTATATATATTAATATTATAAAATATGTAAAATTATTTTACATATTTTCAATAGCTTTTGAATTCAATTAGCGTAAGAAATAATTATTGCTGAATTTTATCAGCAAATAAAGATAATACTAAACAATTAATATTTTAGAGTAAAAGATATATGATATCAAGTACTAAAATATATTTATCTTTACATATTTCAATCAATTATCCCCCAACGGTACATCATTGATGAAATGTCATTGAACATTTCGTGCGGTATCTTAACAAGTGGTAATGATTTTATTAGGACGTTCAATAATATTATCGATTAATGCAAAGTCTACATGCGCATAACACAGCATCTGAAAACGTTTTGCAAAAGTCATCATCAACGAATAGCAAAAGCAGTTATTCTGAATCATTCCTGAGATATGTGTGTGTATGTGTATA